ATTGGGGCCTTGAGTGTTAGCCACTAGAATCTTAGGAACCCATAGAGATCTTTTCACATATATGTTGGACTCATTTCCAACATACGTGGCAACAACTTTACCAAGGTTGTTGCATTTCAACACATAGCTAGAGGACATGCTCTCATGCGGTGCATGGGCCTTGGGTTTGTAAGCATACTTGTTCCTCTTTGGTATGATTAGGTTCTCCTTGACCTGCAGACGAGTGTTGGATGCTTTTGGAGCTTGTTGTCTTGGTTGAGATGGTGCCTTGGTTCTGTTGGTGCCACTGTTCTGCCAGACCCCGGAACCTCCATGTTTTGGCGTGGAGCCTCCAGGGTGTGGAACCTCTACGTTTCTGCGTGGAGCCTCCATGGTCTGCACTGGCTGCACCTCTCCAATGGTCTCCTTTTTCTCAAACCTGATGCAATACACTCCATTTACCATCTTCCTTTCACCGGTCTTGCCACCCTTCTTGTGGCCGAGACCATCCTTGATAAAAAGGATGTCTTCCTTGAATGAACTTGGGCTTCTTGCTTGCATCATCCATGCACCCACTAGCTATGATATTGTTGAGTCTTGCAATTTCCTTCTTCATAGCTTTCATATTAGCAAGGTTAGTAGCACAAGCTTCTAAATCAACATTGTAGCATCTATCACAACCCTTGCTAGTAGATGCATTAGAGATCTCACTTGCCTTCGTAGGATATGAGGTTTTATCCCAAAGGATGCTAAATTGCTCTTCAAGCTCCTCATTTCTTGTCTTGAGGGCATTGTTCTTTTCTTGAAGAGTATTTAGGTCATCCTTTAGGGTAGCTATGACACTTTCCGCTTGATCAATTTCCAAACGTAAAGTTTCAACCTCACTTCTTTTCGATGCAAGAGCTTTCTTGCAAGTAACATAGAGTTTATCTTGCTTGGCAAGAGTAACTTGGTTCTCTCTAATTCATCTACCACCTTGGCTATGAAGTTCTTAGATTTTTTATCCATTTTACTTGCCAAGTTGTTTACTTCATCATCACTAGATTCATCACTAGAGTCTATGTCGGATTCATCACTAGATGGAGGAGAGGGTTTATGCTTGGATTTTGATTTTACCTTTTCTCCTTTGCCCATGAGACAAAAGAGTGTAGATCTCTCTCATCATCAGTCAGGTTGGTGAAGAGCTTTGGTGAAAAAGAATGCTTCTTGATAGCAATGGTTGCAACTTTCTTTGATTCTTCTTCACTTGAGCTATCATCATTTGAATCTCATTCATGACCAATATGAGCTTGACCCGAATAGTTCTTCTTGTGTTGGGTCTTGTCATCTTTCTTGTAGTGCTTCTTCTGCTTATCTTTCTTGTCCTCTTTATTCTTATAAGGACAATCAGCAATGAAATGCTCCATGCTCCTACAATTATAGCATTTCCTCTTTTGCTTGTTGGAAAATCTCTTCACAAACTTGTACCCTTCTCTTTTCAACCCCTTCTTGTACTTCCTCATGAACAAAGCAACATCACCAATCTCACTAGAAGATACTTCATCATCTTTAGCATCACTTGAGTCACTTGATGAATCAACCGTCTCAACCTTGTTTGATCTTTGATCTTGGTGGCTTGCTTGAGGTGAAGGCCTTGTTTGATTTGTTTGCCTTGAGAGCTACCTCCTTGACCTTCAAGTTCTCCATCTTTTCTTCTAGCTCTACAAACTTCTTCCTTTGTTGTATCTCCATCTCCATGAACTCATGAGTGAGTATTCTTCCAAGGACATCACTAGGGGTGAACTCTTCAAACCTCTTCTTCTCTCTAATCAATGTCACAAAGAGTTTGGTTTCTTGGTGCAAATGCTTCCAACATCACTTTTACAACATGATGATCATCCAAGTCATCCCCACCCAAGCCTCTAATCTTGCCAACTATCACCATCAATCTATCAAACATCTCTTGAGTGCCTTCTCCATCCTTGATAACAAACCTATTGAGTTGAGCCATCAATAGATCAATCTTGGACTTCTTTACTTTACTAACTCCTTTATGTGCAAGGTGAAGGGTGTCCCAAATATCCTTAGCAATCTCCAAATCAATCACTTTGTTGTACTCTTCCGGGCTTAATACACTTAGAAGAGCACTAGTAGCTTGAGCATTGCGATGTATCATGTGAATCTCTCTTGGTGTAGGATTTTTGGGATCAACGGGATCTTCAAAACCTACACACACAATATTCCACATCTCCGGATGGAGTCCAATAAGATAAACCTTCATCATATGCTTCCACTTGGCAAAGTTAGTCCCATCAAATTGGGGTAACTTGCACGCGGGTATGTTGATGTGAGTGTTAGTTGGCAAATTTACGGAATCATAATTAAAGGATACACTCAAATATGATCTCTTGGTGTTAGACTTGAGTGTCCTCTTTGGTAGCCTTTGAGCATAGTACTCATCATCATCATCATCTCCATTCTCTGACTCGCTGCTTGGTTGTGGACTTGATTGCACCTTTCTTCTTGCTTTGTGTTTCTTCTCCTCCTTGTTCTTGTTCTTGTCCCTTTGCTTGTCTCCCTTGGAGGATCCCTTAGCACCAAGCTTGATCTTTAGAAGTCACTCAAGCGCTGCTGTGGCATTATCCTCAGGAGCTTCGGGTTCCTCTTCACTAGGAACATCCTCAAAGCAGTCCTCTCCATCTTCCTCCGGTACCCTTTCTCTAGGACTTGCCATTTCCTCACACGGTTAAGTGCTATCACGAGGAAACCTGGCTCTAATACCAATTGAAAGGATCTAGCAAATGGCCTAGAGGGAGTGAATAGGTCTTTTTTCTGAAATTTAATCAACTTATGAAAATAGTTAGAATGCGGAACCTCCGGGTTTGAACATGGAGGTTCCGAGGCGCGGAGGTTCCGGGACTGAACGTGGAACCTCTAGGATCAAAGTATGAAATCGATCTACTGCGGAATTTAACGAATGAAAAATAGATCGAATGTAATATCGGCCTTCCTGGGGAGTATGTTGAGCTATTTAAACAGTCGGTTGCACCTAGAAGATGAGGAATTCGTAGATCGGATGCAAACCCTAAAAATCAATCCAAATCACAAGTAATAGCAATAACAACAACAATTAGAGTGAACACAAGGATTTATCCCGTGGTTCAACTCGCCACAATGGCTTGTCTACATCCACGTTGTTGAGATTAGCCACAACAGCTATGGAGTCTCTTTCAACTCGCTCCTCTTCTCCAATCTATCACCAAGGCAATAGGTTAGAGGATTCTACTAAGTCACAAAGGGTAATACAAACTTCTCGGTGCTCAACCACAGCGGATTGGGAGCTACCGAGCGACCACTAGCCATCTAGGAGCCAAGCTCCAAGAGTAACGAACACACCAAGCGGCTAGGGCTTCACCAAGTGCACAAGAACAGAGGAGAAAGATCTTCTCGAGCTTTCTCACACTCTCTAGAGCCAAATCCCTCAAGGAATCACAGAGATCTCGAGCAAGGGAGTTGGGAGTCACTGAGCTTAAGAGAGAGAGATCGCTTTTGTTCGAAGTAAATGAGTCAGGGAAAAAGATAACCGTTGGGGGCGAAGGGGTGAGTATAAATACCCCCACCATCACCCACAAAACAGTCGGGTCAGACAGACCCCGGAATCTCCGCGTCAGGACGCGGAGGTTTCGCACCTGAGCGTGGAGGTTCCGCGTAGGCCAGAACAGATAAGAATTCAGCTCGGCTGGCTTTTTGTGCTAGGATTATTTGAGTTGCAGATGGAGTTTTGAGCATTTGGTTCCACCCAGCACATCATTAGTATCCCCCTTGATAGTACGACTTGTCCTATAACTCAATTTTAAAATATAAAAAGAATTAAACTAGTTCTTGAAGCCGTGGCAAGCCATCCATTCAAGTTGGGGGGTCTCCTCCTTTGTTTCTTTGCATCCACAATTAAACATATGTTGTCAAGCACTTGTCAAAGCCATTAGTCCTTTAATTATGTGGTCAACATCATCAAAACCCACTTGGAGCTTGATTGCACTTACAAGAGCCTTAGCAAGATTTAGCTGATAAAAATGTGCAACTAAAACACCTGGCTAAAACATGACTACAGCCTCAATACTAATTAAGTTCACAAGCACTCTATGCCTAGGCTGAGGTTTACAATCATAAGGTAATAAACAAGCTATTATATTTTTTCTAAAAAATAAATAACTTGAATGTAAAGACCTCAAGTGAGGTTTCATGTCCAAGACTTTGGTGCGTTGAAGATAGTGTACACATGTTTCATTCCCATAAGACTTTCATCACCTTTATTCATCCGTATATGACATGCCCGTTTTTTAATGCTCATAAACTCTTGTGAAACCTCCATTGAGATTGGTCTTAGTTAAGAAGCTATATCAACATGAGAACATAGATATGAAGAGATGTGATAGACAGACGCTGGAGACAGAAGATATATAATTGGAAAAAACTATTTATTTAGAACATGGTACATAAATTAATAGCTATAATAAAAACTATCTGTGTTTTTTAGTACTGGGACGACTCTTATATAACGGGAGCGAGGAAATACCATATATAATTTATGTCATTTCATTTGTGCTTGAATTCATCCACTAATAATAAATGCAATGCAAAGCATAGATACAGCGGAATCCAATCCAAGGATAACAATAGCATGGCCGCCAGAGAATCCCCATCTACGCATACCACTAGCGGTTCCCCTTTTCGTCTGGCGGGAAGACAGCCCGACACGAGCACGCCCACGGGCCACCGCCCCCATCCCGCTCTCCCCGCTCCAGAACCAGATCTTCACCGTCCAGTTCCTCGGCCACACGAATCTCCACGCGCTCGCGAATAAAACGTTGCCACCGCCCGCCACCTCCGGCCGCTCCGCTTCTTTCCTTTCAACCGGAGCGACGAGAGACACGACTCACGAGGTGTGGGTGTGGCGAGAGAAAAGGGGAAATCGCAGTTATCATCGGGGAATCCGACCGGGCGCGCCGCCGGCGGCTCATTTCGCGACAGCGTCCCGAGGTATGCGGGGGCTGATTGGCCGCGAGTTCTTGGGAAATTTTTGGGGTTTCCGTTTGGTGCGTCGGTCGAACTGCTTGGATTGGGGTGGGTTATTTCTTCTTTTGATTTTGACGGGTTTATTTCCATTTCTGGGTGCTTGGATTGGAGAACTGAGCGGGGGAGGTAAAGTCGCGTAGCGGTTTCCCCGCGTTTCGTGGCCGCCGGAAGGTGATTTGTCTCGCTACTGTAGTTCTGTGCTCGATTTTAAGCGGTTTTGCGAAAACCATTTTCAGAAAGTTCACCCCGTGATCACGGGCCTCTTCTTCGATTGTTTCTAAGAACAAGTACTAGTTGTTGGGTTTCTTGTCGGTACTATTGGTGTCACTTGTCAGTAGCCTGAAATCTATAGAAGAATAGGTTTCCTGGTTGCTCTGATAAAGCGAGCTGAATTGTTAGTGCTGGTTTCTTAGCGTAATTACTTGCTAAGTGAATCGATCAGGGACCCGGTATGAATCTGGTAGGATTTGTTCAGCGTCAATAACTGACCGCATGACATAATTTTGATGTCCTCTTATCTGTTCACTGTTGGGTGTCAAACCTTTGCTGGACAATAACTGACCAGATGACATATTTCTTGCCAAATGTAGCTGCTACTTGTCAGCTTTCAAAGATTTGTGAATAACAACTAATCTACATTGTTAAAGGTTTTCTGATGGATGGCGATAAGGCGAAGGAATCAGCTTCGGATTGTGTGTCCGGTGCAGCAGAGCCAACCACGAAGCAGGAGAAGAGGAAGAGAGCCTCTGCTGAATTGGGTGTGGTGGACGAGGAATCTGCGTCTGCTGAATGGCAGAGAGAAATTGATGCACTGTATGAATATTACAAGGAGGTTTCTGGTCGTCAGCTGAATCCAGAGGAGCTTTCATGCACCATAAATGACTCGGTTATAGCATGCCTGCTGGAGGAGAGCAGTCTTTCTTGTGCCAAGTTAACAGATGAAATCTACAAGAGGATGAAGTTGCAAGATGGTGTCACTGAGTCTTCAGTGCGCACCTCAGTACTTAATATTGGTAAGAGATCTTCGTACGGGATTTCTGCTATGGATGTCGATGATCTGGAGGATGAGTCGGATTCAAGCCTTTGGTGTTGGGAGGTAATATATATAATCTAATACTTATTACTCTCCTGCATCGTTTGAGAAAAAGAAAATCTCTCTAATACAATGAAACACATCTCTCCTGTGTTTTAAAAAAGAAAAAGAAAAAACTTATTACTTTCTTTCCTGTCAATTTCTCCATTGTATGGTAATTAAGCTTTCTTGATCTGTTATATGCCTATGGGACAGACACAAGATTTGGCATTATTACCCTTCCATCTACATAGTAGTTTGAGCATTCGACGCAAAGCTCGGAAGTTAATCCATAAAAGGATTCTGATTCTTTCGGGTATGATGATTTATCTTCTCCCAGTTTCTCTTTAGAAGTATAAACTTATACGGTGCTAATGTGTTCATAAAAGATGACATTTGAATCGTTTGATTCTCGCTAGTGCTTGGTATTGCATGATCTCAGTCAGTTAGATTATTACTGTTAGCAATATATGCTGATGATTATATTTTTACCATGCTTATCTGTATTTGGTTGAATCAATAAATTCTTCCCTTTCCACTTGTCTCTGTTTTTAGCGATTTTATGTGCATTTTGGAAAGGAGCATATTTAATTGCATGTCAATTGTCTTGTACATACAACTAGGCTTTTAAATATGTTTATTGTGCTACCATTGATTTTATCATTGCAACAACAATTAATGTCTAGAACATACCCCTGCAGTTTTTGCCTTCGTTAAGGTTCGTATTTTCTAGCTATAGTCTGTTGTATGTGTTTAGGTTAGTACTTTGTACAGATTACTGCAGTTTTTTAGAAATATTTTCTTTTCTTATGTAGCATCGAATGTTTGGTCTATTGAAAAGGGCATGTAATTGGCAATCATGCTGTTATTGAATTATTGTGCACCATAACATGCAAGGCATATTTTAACCGCGTAATCTGATGTATCAATTAGGAAGCCATTTATTTAAGCTTCTTTTTACATAATTGAGATGGTCTGCTATGAGTTTGAGAACATGCGAGTGTAGGCATAGTTTAGCCGCTTTACTAATTACTCCAACATAAGATTGAAGTGGTTGCCGTAGATGAAATGAAGGCCATCCTTTAGGATATATGAACCAGGAGCGCTTAGATGATCGAGTAGTTGCCAATGCTACTGTATTATTGGGAACTGTAATACAGGAGATATTACATAATGCACTACATTAGTTCCAAAACAAAGAAAAAATATATTTGATAGGGAAAACTAAATATGAAGTAGGTCCAGTGGCGGGTACGCATCAAGTCTGCACACTATTATTCAACTAATGAGAGAAAATCAGCACGTAGCAGAGGGACACTTGCAATTTCTTAGTTTATAAATTATTGGTTCCAACTTATGATATAATCTGTTGCTAGATCAGTTTTACTGGTTTCAATTACTTGACAGGGGGTTTGGCCAATTATTTTTTTTATGATTACAAATCGAGATGTATATTTTCTTTTACCTTGCCATCCTTGTTTGTCCTGTTTCAAATTTATTGTTTCTGGGCACTTGTCTCTTTGGAATAAAAATGCGTCATCATTTTGTACTATTTTATTTGCATGGCATTCCATCCGGTCAAAATTAGATGGCATCTTGGACAGCATGATTTTGTATAAGAAGCACTATTTTGGAAGCTACTAATTGGTTCAGTCTTTTCTATTTTAGTACATTGACTTTTAGCTACTTTAACACTGTTACAGATTGTTATTTAATATTGATGGAATGTTAGTGTTGAGATAACTCCTGACCTGTTTAAGTTAATGCTCTTGCCCTACAATAGTACTACACTACCACATGAGTTTTGGGTATAAACCACTGATGTGCAAAGGAATGCTGAATGTTTTCTCCGTATTTTATCTTACAGGCAAGCTGGCTGCCAAAGATGCCAGTAATGCTCGTAGCAACCAGTACAGCCTTATGAAAAATGCTGGGGAAGTTCTAGATCTGGATGAGATTCGCTCTATCGTTGAGTCAAAACACAAGAATGATACTGACATGTACTTAGCTTACTTCATCTACATATTTTAAAATTTTGAAACTACTCACTGGATCTTTCTTTTACATGTAGAACTAAAATGCACAGTAAAACTGAGGCACAAGAGTTACAAGCCATCAGTAAAGCTGTGAAGAAACAGCAAACTGAGCAAAAGAAGAAAGTAGGTTATTTTCTTACTGCAAAAAGTTATTTTTTCAGTGTTGTATGTTATGTTGCAGCTAATGTAATCCCTTGGACAAATGTACATAGGCTAAGGTTTTTTTTTTCCATCGAAATGTTTTTTTTTGCCTAAAATAGCTTGTTGAAAATCAGATGTCTACTTCTCTGTGATATTCCAGATATTTTGTATTGGATGATTTTTATTCATTGGCTGGTGAATGGAAGTGGTTTAAAATTTCATATTGGTTATTTTGAAATTGAGACTTGATAGGAAACTGGTTGTTTCCTGCTAAAAATGCATTAAAACATGTTTTTTTTCTTATCTTGTTAGACGAAGAACTTTTGTTTATGTTACTTTGTCCGTTTGTATGTGAGTCTTGACTTCATTATCTAGTTGAATTTTCAAGGATCTAGTAGTGGAGGTATATCTTGTACTTTGGAAATTTCGCTCTCACAATTGCATTTGAGTAGCCTTAGATGTTTATAATAAAATGTTGGAACTAATGAAACAATAAAGTGGACTTTTGGAAGATTTCAGATTGTTTGTTACAAGTTAAAATTATAGATAATAGCTGGAAGATTGGTATACCATTGGACTGGTGCTGTCTTTTTACCAAAAAAGTGCAATATTGGTAAGTAGTAACTTTCCGATCACAAGCATGATGCATAGAGTAGATTCAGTACGGTGCATTTAAGTACTGTTGTCCAAGCCAAAGGGCGCCTAGCTCAAACGGTTAGGTGACCCAGCGGCACTCCTCAATCCTGGGTTCGACTCCCCGTGGGAGCGAATTTCAGGCTGAGGTTAAAAAAATCCCCTCGCCCGTCCCCATAACCAAAGCACTGGGGGGGCACCGGCCCAATTCTCACTTGGGCGACGGAAAGCCACCGTGTAAGGGTGGGTTCAGGGGTTCGGGGGTTTTCTCGGCCGGGTGAGAAGGTCCTTCTTATTTGAAATGCTGCGGGGGCAGTCTTAACCCCCCCGGTCGAGTTTATTTTAGTACTGTTGTCCAATCAAGACCATAGCAGAGCTTGGATTGGTAGCTGCAATAAAGGGTACAGTTGTGTGAGGGGGTGAGACTTTGTGTTCGTTTCTTTTTCCTCTACTTTTTTTGAATGACGAAGGAGGATTGCTTTCATTTTATTGAGGAAGAAAAAGATACGAACGCGTGAGGCTAGAGTCACCCCACCCAAGCAGAACCCACCAAACCTAGTAGATAGCAAGATTTGATACGCAGCTCCCCGCGTGTTCAAAAAAAGAAAAAGAGAAAAATAAAGGATACTGTTGTAAAGTATCCCCTTGAATGATATTGATGTTTCCTTAATATTTGTAATAATCGGAGCCAGGTTAGATGATAGTTTCCTGTTTGGGAAGGTTTTAAGAAACCATCATATGTTGTGTAATCATGCCATGTTAGATATTCTAAATAGCATCTATAACATCACAGGAACGGGAACGTAGGCATATGAATGAAAAAACTGAGAGGGAAGCAAAACGTATCGAGAGAGAAAATAAGCGGCTAAAGAAGCATCAGGAAGAAGAAGAGAGGGCAAGGAAGAAGAAAGAGAAGGAAGAGGCTGAGTTGAAAAGGAAGGCTTCCATTCAAAAGCAAGCAAACCTCATGGAACGTTTTCTTAAAAGAAAGGCGAATAGCAACACGGAAAGTTCTGGTAGTCACCACTTGGAGAGGACTAAATGCTCAAAATCATCAGGAAACATTGAAGAACTTGCTGTTGCAGCTACATCAGGAATGGATTGTACATTATCTAAAGAAAGTCATTTGAGCATGGAGGAACTCCGGATGTAAGTTATAAACTATTATGTCTACATCTATTTGAAGTAATATAAGCTACTGTACAATCAGATTGCTATGGATGTTAATCCTATGAAACACCTTTTAGGGCCTGCTTGGTTGGCTACCAAAATTGCTATACCAAAGATTTGGCAAGAAAAAATTGCCAAAACTAGGGCAAGAATATTTTCCATAAATTTGGCATGATGTTATAAGAACTATGCTGACTGTACTATCAGTTTGTCGTCTTGTTGCTCAATCAATATGTGCATTTTTCCTTCTCCCTACATTTTCATTCTATTCTAGTTAAAAGAGAAGTTAAGGCCACATTCATGATTAGAGAATGATGTATATGTATAAATAGGGAGAACAAACAGGTCACTGAGGATCATTATAGATAACCAAGTTTATTGTGACTTCACGATGCAGGATACATGTTGTGAAATGGAGAAAACTCTATCAACATAACAGATTGTGCCATTGGGGTGTTAGGAGATGTCCTAAACTTCAGTTGTTTCCTGAGCTAAGGCTACAAAAGTCCTCTGCAGCTATAACTTCTGATAGTATGTCGACTCCAACAAAAGAACAGTCATCTCAGAAGAGCACAGGAAGCCTTGATATCACCAAACTTCTGGATGAACTAGAGATACCATCTCGTTCTCAGAATAGTATATCGTCTTCAGTTTTGCTTGTGAAGAAGCTTCTGCAGTTTGATAAAAGTTCTAGGCCAGCATACTATGGTACCTGGAGAAAGAAGAGGTATCCTCCAGCTATTATGTGTCATTACACATGGATTTCTTTGTTTTCTTCTATTTTATTAAAATTGAATGTTATACATAGAGAATATCTAGCATAGTTGAATTCAACCATTCATGTCATTCATAATGACAACATTTTCATATAAGTAAAATCCTACAGTTCTACAGTTAGTGCAAGGCAACCCTTTCAGAGGGATGAGGAACTCAATTACGATGTCGAGAGTGATGAAGAATGGGAAGAGGTACTTTCTATTTTTGCCTTGTCTGCTGTGGAGATGAATTCTCATTATATATAGTCTTGATGCAGGACGATCCTGATGATCCTGGTGAAAGATTATCTGATTTTGAGGACGATGATGAGAAAACTATGAATGAACATGATTCCATGATTGATGCAGAAGAGGAAGCTGAGAACAGTTTTGTAGTGCCCAATGACTATCTTTCAGATGATGAGGTTATATCATTATATGGATTGCTAATATCAACCCCAGAATATGAAAAATGAAAAGAAAATTTAAATAACAAGTCAATGCAATTGCTACAGATCATTTAAAGCATGGATTATTACTTGATTCTGAATTCAAGTTAATAATTTATTACTGAATTTTATCATTCCATGTATACAAGGATCCTCTTAATGTCTTGTAAGATATTCTTCAGAACAGTTTTAACCTGGCAAATGCTAACTAATGATTGCACATCAATAAATCTTTGATGAAACCACCCCAATTTTCATGTGGAAATCATGTTTGCTCTTGATTCCTTCATTGCATGATTGGTTCTGCAGAACCTTCTTTTCTTTTATGTAGGGCATGCAATGTGAGCCTATATGTGTCAAATTTGATGAAATCAGTACCATGCTGAGCATCCCTGGGGTTACAGTTGAGGAACTTAATGCTCTACTGCAAAGGCAGAAAGCTCTTCATATCATCACAGAACATGCTCTCAAAATAGACAGACCTCTAGTCATATCCAACCTAGATCATAGGAAACTTGACCTGCTGAATGCTGAAGATATCACTGGAATGCTGAAGATGGAGAAAATCTGTTTGCAAGCTCTTTGCATGAAGAAATACCCTGGCAGCCCCATCATTGATGTGCCTGTGGTTAATATGACCATTGAGGATGGATTTTGCCGATCAAACAGAAAGAGCCCTAGAACACCTGTATCATCGAAAGCCATTTCAGAATCAGACATGCCTGAATTTGTAAGTTGCTAGGAGACATTTAGATGGCATTCTTCTCTGAAGTGAAATGAAAGATTTCCTATTCACTCATGATGTTCTGCAGGCCAAACTTGTTGCATCATGCCCTCAAGGGATAGTCAAATTGGTGGAGTTGTTACATGAGACATTTCCATATGTCTCTAAGGCACGACTGAAGAACAAAGTTCGGGAGATAGCTGAGTTTACTAATAACCGCTGGCAGGTCTTTTGCATTTTACACTAATTTTCCCTGGGCATGCATTGCAATATTTTCTCCATGTCAAATAAGGGTATCATTTTGAACAGGTTAAGCAAGATATCTTGGATCGGTACAGTTTCTCTGTGTCTCCAGGTTGGTCATAACTTACTTTTGTTAGTAGATTTTGTGAGTGATGCTTTTTCTGCCTTGGAAACGTGATATAATGTTGCTTTGAAGCAATTAAGGTAGATACTTCCTCCGGGCTCCGGTCAAAAAAACTGTTGTTTATAACAAGATTTTGTCAAACCTTGAAATCTACAGACATCAATAGCTTTTATACTATTTAGTTTGTAAATATGCAATTTATATGGGTAGATTTGTATCAAAACACTTGAAAATCGTGTTCAAAGATATACCGTGAAGACCGTGCAAAGGTGTCAAAGGTCTTTTACCAGAGGTAGTATCTCATCCACTAGCTACCCATCATGACATTTCCATCAAACTTCGCAAGGCAAATGCCAAAATATATGAACCATGTTTGTTAATGGATAAAGTGTTTGATAACTTGATTGTACCTACCAAAATTAACTCTTTTTCATGCATGAGTGTTACATTTTATGCTTTCTATCTACAGTGATACAATTCTGTGCTTTCTGTAACAGATAAAGGTGAAGGCCCAAAATGTGCAGCATTGTGCTCCTCCCAACAGCGCCAGCCACCCAATGAATCGGGTAATACAGGCGAATCTTCTCCCCAGTGCTCCCTGAAATCCGAAATGATCAGACAACAATCCGGCGCGCAATGGTCACATGGCGGCACACAGCGTCCTGATCCTTGATAATTGGCGCTACTCCCCCAAGATGGCGGGCGGCGAATAACCTCTTGTAGTACTGTGCATGTATATTTGCTTAGGTTATACAAAGTAAGTATAGATGGAATATGTAGGTTCAGTATGCAGAAACCTAGATACCAGCTAGCAGGGGCCGTAGCCAGTGTTGTGTAGCTCAAGCAGTTCGAGATTGTCTCTGGAATGGTTGCTCTGCCTTCCCATGTAAATTCATACTGGTTCGTGGTGTTGCTGCACCCCTCTAATGCTGCCATACTTTTGTCAGAGGTTGTTGGTGCAATATCGAGCTTAAATGTCTGGCAAGATAGCAGTGTATGCGTTTATGTACTGGTGTGGATTTGATAACAGTGCACGAGGTGCTCGCGCTATTGCAGTCATTGTCAGAGGTAAAACCTTCGTAGATATTGCTGGCACTTCCAGAATAATTTCAAGGAGACTTGCCAGGATTCCAGGACAGCACTCAGGATTACATAATCTATCACGCCTACTATGTTCTATGCACACTGAACTGTTTGATATGCAGAAGTTATTTGTGGTAACACAACACAGTTCAATCCGAACCCAGACGAACAGGTACACTTACCAAGCATCAAGACCATACACAATTCAACTCTGCTAGATCACACAACACAACAGCCAATGAGAGCTGGACTGGGAGTTTTCATCATTAATACAGAAATGCATCCACCACAGAACATTTACATCAAGGGAGTGCTCTCAGATTCCTCCTCGGTTCTAATGGCAGAAGCTACAGCTCTAGCACTCGCTGCAGCTGTCATCCCTCGGCTTCAACAAAGTGATATTTTTCACACTAGCTCTATTTTATTAACCTTACCTGCAACATTAAACATTGCCAATAACTTCTGCATAAAGATTTAGTGCATTACAGACTAGTAAGTCAAACTGTGGCACTGTCAGACTGCCACAATTACACAAATATTACACAGTTCATTTAGCAAGCCCCTACTTCAACACTGGAAAAAGGAAGACCACCTCAAATTTAGCAGCAAACAAGAGTAGAGTCAAGCAGCAACTACTCAAACGATGCGCATACACCTACCCGTTTCTTTACATTCAAAGGGATCAGTTTTAGACAAATCATGGACATGATTAATATGCATAAAGTCATGCTCACATCTTTTAGTAGTAAAATAAACCCGAGCACATCTCGAAGCCCTTTTCTCTAGCTGGAGCAGCTGATGCTGCTCTGCAAGAAATCTATTAGTCACACTGTCCCTTTGACACTCAAATGTCATTGACTCCAGCATCTTTGCGTTCAGTACAAAGAATGTGGCAAAGTTAACTTCTGACCTTGTGCCTCGATAATTATTCAACACGACTGTCTTGAGACGGATGTCAAGGCATTTAATAAGATTATGATGTTTACGGCACCATAAATTCTGGTCTCCCCCCTTGTATGACTGAAAATGAAAAAAAACAGTATACAAACACAATTAATATTAAGGAGGACATATATAGGCTATGTGATGAGTTTTACTCCCATCAGGCTGATATCAAAAGCATTAATTCCTCTTATATCACTCTGGTTCCCAAAAAGGACAACCCTGAACATGTTAGTGATTTTAGGCCTATTTCTCTTCTGAATTCCTCTATCAAGATCATAACCAAAATTTTAGCAAACAGATTCCAAAGTAAAGCATTGCAAGTGATCCATGAGAATCAGTTTGGTTTTATAAAAGGAAGGACAATACATGACTGTTTAGAATGGGCCTTGAGTTCTTACATCAATGCCACCACGCCAAAAGAGAATGCATTATCCTCAAGTTAGATTTTGAAAAGGCTTTTGATATGGTGGAGCACTCAGTTATTCTTGATATGCTTAGAGCTAAAGGTTTTCCTCCCAAATGGCTAAAATGGATCAGTGATATTCTCTCCTCGGCCATTTCCTCGGTGCTTCTGAATGGAGTTGCTGGTAAGGAATTTAAATGCAAAAGAGGGGTCAAACAAGGGGATCCCTTGTCCCCTCTTCTTTTTGCAGTGGCAGCAGATCTGTTGCAGAGTGTGATCAATCATGAGTATGGACAAGGAACACTTCTGCCTCCTTTCCCTCAAAATCAAGGTACCCCTTTTCCAATAGTGCAATATGCAGATGACACTATCTTGATCATGCAAGGGAGTGAAGATCAATTGTTGTATCTTAAGGAGATTCTGCATAAGCTTACCATGTCCAGTGGGTTGAGAGTTAATTGCCACAAATCCTGTATAGTCCCCATCAACATTGATCAGGAAAAGGCCTCCTCCCTTGCTAATGTTTTCGGCTGCCAATTGGGAACTTTTCCTGTCACATACCTTGGACTTCCTATGGGCCTCACTAAACCTCAAGTCAAAGACTATGCTCCCTTAATCTGTAGGATTGAAAGAAGGCTATCTGCTAGTTCCCAATTTCTATCCTATGCTGGAAGGCTGCAGATAGTGAACTCTGTTCTTTCCTCACTTCCAACTTATTTCATGTGCTCATTAAAATTGCCTGTCAGTCATTGACATCATTGATAAGCATAGGAAGAATTGACTATGGAGAGGAAGTGATTTTAGAAAGAAAGGATATAATTTGGCAGCCTGGAATTTGGTTATGAAGCCTAAAGACAAAGGTGGTCTTGGGGTCACTAATTTAAGTCTTCAAAATGATGCTCTGCTGCTCAAGGAGTTAGATAAATTCTATAGGAAAGAAAGTACTCAGTGGGTGAAACTCATATGGCAGAAGTATTACTCTGAAGGTGTCCCTCATCTTAAAAAAGAAAAAGGTTCATTTTGGTGGAAAGATATTTTAAGGCTTCATACTCAATATAGAGAAGTGGCTTTCTGTATACCAACAAGAGGAGATACTGTCAGCTTTTGGTTTTATCTTCTTTTTGGAGAAATTCAACAACAACAACAACATAGCCTTTTAGTCCCAAGCAAGTTGGGGTAGGCTAGAGTTGAAACCTACCAAGAGCCCCAAGTCACGGTTCAGGCACTTCAATAGCTGCTTTCCAAGTACTCCTATTCAAACATAGATCTCTAGGTATATCCTAAGCTTTCAAATCTCTTTTTATTGCCTCCCCCATGTCAATTTCGGTTTTCCTCTACCTCTCCTTATATTATTAGCTTGGCTTAGGACTCCACAATGCACTGGTGCCTCTGAAGGTCTCCTTTAGACATGGCCAAACCACCTCAACCGATGTTGGACAAGCTTTTCTTCAATTAGTGCTACCTCTAGGCGATCACGTATATCATCATTCCGAACTCGGTCCATTCTCGTGTGACCGCAAATCCATCGCAACATACGCATTTCTACAACACTCAGTTGTTGAACATGTCGAATCTTTGTAGGCCAACATTCTGCTCCATACAACATAGCCGGTCTAATCGCCGTTCTATAGAACTTGCCTTTTAGCTTTTGTGGTACCCTCTTGTCACGGAGAATGCCAGAAGCTTGTCGCCACTTGATCCACCCTGCTTTGATTCTATGGCTAACGTCCGCATCAATATCTCCATCCCTCTGTAGCATCGATCCCAGATACCGAAAGGTATCATTCTTAGGCACTACTTGACCTTCCAAACTCACATCTCCCTCCTTCTGTACAACTCCGCCAAAGTCGCATCTCATGTATTCGGTTTTAGTTCTGCTCAATCTAAAACATTTAGACTCAAGGGTCTGCCGCCATAACTCTAGTTTTCTATTTACTCCCACCAGGCTTCCGTCCACTAACACTACATCATTAGCGAACAACATATACCAAGGGATATTCCCTTGTATGTTCCTAGTAACCTCATCCATTACCAAGGCAAAGAGATACGGGCTTAAGACTACCCTTGATGAAATCCAATTTTAATCGGGAAGTAATCTGTGTTACCATCGTTTGTTCGAACACTAGTCACAACATTGTTGTACATGTCCTTGATAAGGGTCACGTACTTTGATGGGACTTTATGTTTGTCCAAAAACCACCACATAACATTTCTTGGTATCTTGTCATAAGCCTTCTCCAAGTCAATGAAAACCAAGTGGAGGTCCTTTCTTCTGCTCTCTAAACCGCTCCATAACCTGTCTTATTAAGAAGATTACTTCTATGGTTGACCTTCCGGGCATGAAACCAAATTGGTTTGCCGATATCTGCGTCGTTCCTCGCAGGCGCTGCTCGATAACTCTCTCCCATAACTTCATAGTGTGGCTCATCAACTTAATTCCCCGATAATTAGTACAACTTTGGATATCTCCCTTGTTCTTGTAGATTGATACCAATATGCTTCTTCTCCACTCCTCAGGCATCTTGTTCGATCGAAAGATATTGTTAAACATCTTGGTTAGCCATACTATAGCTATATCCCTGAGACATCTCCACACCTTGATTGGGATACCATCAGGGCCCATCGCTTTGCCCCCTTTCATCCTTTTCAAGGCTTCTCTGACCTCCGATTCTTGAATCCTCCGTACAAAGTGCCTGCTAGTGTCATCAAACGAGTCGTCCAGCTGAACGGTGGTGTTCTCGTTCTTTTTGGAGAAATTCATTCGCAGAAATATCCTCATCTATTTGAGTTTGCTAAAGAAACTGATATCTCGTTATGGAAGCTTAGAAACTTTGAATCACTTCTGAGTTGTTTCAGGATCCCTATGTCCAGGCAAGCATATAGCGAGTTCTTAGACCTGCAGAATAATCTCTCCATTTTGCTGCCTGTTTCTCCTGAGAAGAATGATTGCTGGAACTTCATCTGGGGGCACCAGTCTTATTCTTCCAGCAAGTTCTATTAGTACCATTTTGCCTCCTTGCATCCACCTAGAGCTATCGCCTGGATTTGGAAGGCCAAATGCATTCCAAAAATCAAGTTCTTTGCTTGGCTTCTACTGAATGATAAATTGAATACTAGAAATATGCTGAGAAGAAGGAATAAGTTTCTAGAAGAGGGTTATTGTTGTGTTATGTGTCACTCAGACATCGAAGAAACCATCGAACACTTATTCTTCAGCTGTCCCTTGGCAGCAACTAGGTGGTTTGCTCTGGGAATTATTTGGGATGAGGAAGTCAACATTCATGAGAAATTGCTCATAGCCAGGAATCTTTTGTCTCAACCTTTTTTCCTGGAAATTTTTATGATAAGGGCCTGGTGTCTCTGGAATGAGAGAAATGCTCTAATTTTTTATAATAAAGCTCCCAACATTAGCTCATGGAAGACTGCTTTCAAGAAGGAAGTTACAGAACATCTTTTCAGGATCAAAAGAAGTCTTCACCGTTCCATCATTCAGTGGCTCAATGCCTTGTAATTGTACTTGTTGTTGTTTAGCCTAGTTTAGCTTAGCTTTTTTCGCGCTTTTTTCTGCCTAACTGCTGGTTAGGCTCCTCTTGCTGTTTTGTAAGTTGTACTCTGATCCTCTTTTTATATAAAAGTCGCTGGGGAGTTTTACCCCACGGTTTCAGTTAAAAAAAATTAATTCAAGAAGAATTGACACAATATTAAGTCAGATCCAAAGAATATATGAACACAATTAATTACTAGTTTAGTATGTTTACCTGGATATACAGCTTCTCCAAGCATGGGAAGCATCTCATGAAGTCAATAATATCATCCAGGCTCAGAATAAAAATATTGACTGCTAAAATCTTGACAGTACACGCCGGCATTGTCGAGTTAATGATCCGGAATTCCATCATGTCGCATGGCTGCATGAAACATGTGTCAGCCAATCTATAAATGATTATATTTTCAAGTATTTTTCTGCACACAGAAAAGCAACTCAGAACCTGTAGGCAAGAGGTACCTCAATAATCATAGAGGCCAACGCAAGCCAGGAACAGTAATCAGAATAATTTAGGCAACCCAAGGTCTCCAGATTGGGTGCTGAAATAACTGATACTTGCAGTGGCATGCCCGTTTGTGGTGGTCGATGATACAGAATCCTTTTAAGGCAAGGGGCATCCTCAATGATGAATTCTTCTAAGAATGTCACTCTTGTTTCATACCCATCATCAGCATGACCCACCGCAATGCTTGTAAGGCTAGCTGAGTTGATCCTGAGACAGTGGAAGCCAAAGACGGTGCTAAGCAGCAGGCACTCGAGGACGGGAGAAGCAGCAATAATGCTATGCAGGGAATCCTCCGAAATGCGGACCCATTGAAGTGCGAGCTTCTTGAGCTTGGGGAACTGAAGCGCCTGGGCGACGTCGTCAGAGAGGTGGCATCGGCTGAGAGTGGCGACGCAAAGGCACGACGAGAACCGGAAGATAGACACCGGCTGAAGTGGCGGTTGCAACACCTGCGGCCCCCAAATGGAGCGGGTCCAGCAGTCAATCTCTTGGAGGTTGTCGAGGGCGGGGGATCGGAGCCATGCATCCACAGTGGCGGGGTGGTCCTGTAGTCGTTGTGCGGGGAAGCGAAAGCGGCGGCCGGAGCCCCGGTGGGCGGAGAGGATGCCGGAGACGACATCCATGGTGCGAAGGTCACCACCGTCGAGGTTGAGAGGGGCGGAGCGCCAGAGATGGCGCCACCGGGTGGCGAGGATTTGGGTGCGGGCAGCATCCTTGGTGGGGAGACGAGAGATGACCTCACACAGAATGGCGTCGCGGAGGCTACTGATTCGGTCGACCCCATCTCCTTCCTCTCCGCCGGCTCCAGGCGGCGTATCTTGGACGTAGGGTTCGTCTCCTTCTGCTCCAGGATGATTGGAATCAGACTCACTCATCGCTCGTAGTGGCGAGATGTTCACTCCACCCTCCTGTTCCGCGCTCTCGGGTGCCTCCGGCTTCCTTCTCTTGGCACGGCGAGCCGCCGCCAGAGTCTCCATGGCCGCCGGCCGGTGGGTTGATTGGGTGCGGCGGGGCGGGGAAAGGGAAAACACGACGGCTGGCTGAAGCTCCGTAGGGTTTTGGGTACGTGCAGCATCCAGAGGCCTCCCGTTGCCGGCCCATGGGCCCAAGGCCATCTACGTTTGGCTTCAAAATCAACTTCAATTTTCGAATGCAGCACAACTTTGAGCTTGAAAACTACTTTTGCGTAACGAGAAAGCAAAGTCTCAGAGAGAGACAGAATCAGCTTGTATAAGTGGGTCGGGGTGACCTGTATTATTTATTCATCTGAACTCGCAACCTGTTTCTATTGCAGGATAGTTTTTCTTTTTTTCTTATTATTGCAAAAAGTTTGTTCAAAGAGGTTAAGTTTTGAATAAGCGTGCAACCGTGCGCCATCTACGCATTCATATGTTTTGGATGATTTTTTCATACATTTATTTTTTTAAGTGGGAGCATGGGAGCACATGATATGCTCTCTCTCTCTCCATTTTTGGCACAGTTCTCTCGTCGGTTAGAATTCAATACATTAGATCATATATGTGTGAATTAGAGTGAGAGTTCAGTGTCTCAAACAAGGCAAGCCACGAGGCCATGACTAGTTTAGAGGCACTGCTAGAGAAAATTAGTTCCAGGACTCTGATCCCTCTCAATCGTCGTTTGGCGGGAGGAAGCTAATCTTCTGCAAGCAGCATGGCACACTGAACAACCTCTAGTTGTGCTTCGTCTCACGCACCATAAGCACAATGATGGCCAAATCCTTATTGAGCGTGTGTGCGCCGCAACTAGTGCCGGCACACGAACACGCATCGACACATGATTGGAGGTAGGCATGATATCCAGTAGCGACGCTTATTTTATTCTTTCCCTGGCTCCTCTAGTTAGGGGAGGGAGGTCTCCCACCTTAGAAGAAGGGAGCTTGGGGGCAACGTCCGACCCCACGGTGGAGGTGGTTCGATCGGTGGCGAGTGAGGCGGCAGAGACGCTGCCAAGTGTAACACCTTGAATTTTGATCTAATTTAAAAATCACTAAAAATTTGAACTTTTTAAAACCTTGCATAGGAACCAACACACATAACTAATTAACCTAGGAAAATATAAATAAGACAACATAGGGATAAAATCATAGGTGTAGAATTGTGTGCTTGAATGTTTGCTTGCTTGTTGAACATATGGTGGTACACCTTGCATGCATCTATATTTAAATTTGAATTTAAAATGCATTCAAACTTATTATAGGAACTCTGGGAAAAAGAAAAAGAAAAAAGGAATAAAAAAAGAGCATTGGGCTCATTTCCTCCTTCCCTCGGCCCATAGCAGCAGCAACAGCCCACCACCTCCTCCTCTCTTCTCCCCTTCCTCCCTCTCCCACGACAGGGTCGGCCCTAACGTCGTTGTCGCCGTCGTGGCCGGTTGGGTACACTTAGAAAAACGCTAGGTACACCTAGTTAGTGTACGCAGAAGGCTATAAACCTATTTTCCTAGCTTAGAAAAATTCTCATAAAATTTGGAAATAAACTAGATGCATTAGGAAATTTAATCATATAATTTGCACCCATTTTCATGCACCAGAAAATACATATAAAATTTCATCTAGTTAATTAGCTATAGAATAAACTTCTAAAATACATAACTTTTACATCATAGCTCCTTTTTATGTGAAACCACTTCTAAAATTCACCTAAAATTTAGCTCTATGCATTCATCCTAGTACCACCATGTTGTTCTATGTTTGCTTTTCCTCTTTTATTTTGTGTTTGGTGGTAGTCTTATTCGATAGCTACGCCAATAGACGACGGTGACTACCGGGAAAGCGAAGACTCCGACTATGAGAACGTGCCGAAAGTAGCCAACAACGAAGGCAAGTTGATGTAGACTAGGCCCGATCTTTCGAAAGGTATGATAGCGTCGATTGGTGGAGACTCGACATTCATGATCTAGGCTTCGAACCAAGACTGATTCGGACCCCCGCAACTGTTACACCACTGCTCCGTTGGTTATCAACCACGCGAACGCGATTGACCTCGCCGAGAAGGCTTTCCTGCAAGCGAATCAGGAACACAAGCAAGAACGGGATGAATATAATCTGAAATTACAAATAAATATGAGACTTATGAAAATAAGGAGTTCAAGTCTTTATTCGAAAGGACTAATCGCCACAGGCGAACAAGATTAAGAACTGAGGCCCTGGTTCACAGCAAGTAGCCTTGGTGGCACAGTTACAGCAAAACGATGTCTATTTCACAAGGAAATCAAGAACTAAATAAAACCCAAACCCTAAGGAGAGCGATGGCTGCTATTTATAGAGTCTTGGGTGTCACCCCCGTGGACGCGCCCCCTAATGGGCCCAAACACGATACACGGTCCAATGGACCAAAAGACGGTGTCGCAGCACCCTGGCAGATTCTGGACGCTGACTTTTTTCGATGATTCCCGTTGATTCCGAAGGGCTTTTGACGTGAGACCACTTGCATTGGCTTCCTTATCAAATTAGCTTTCCAACCATATGTGGATCGTCGAAAACGGAGTTCGGATGCGTCCTGGGTAACCAGTTTAATGCAGACTTGTCCTGAAACTCGAGATGGACTCCAACTTCAGTTGGACTGGGCCTCCACCATGAAAAAGATGAATTGGACGCCCATGCTGGACCTTCTCCTCTCCTTGGCTTGTATGCGATGAAGTAGTGATGTCCTCATCATCCTCCCTTTCTTGAATTGAAGTCATCCTCGACTGAAGTAGATCGTCTCCTCCATTGGATGACAGCACCGATGGTTCCGGAAGAAGACGTTCATCTTGGCGCCCAATCCTTCGCAAAGGCGGCTGCCATGGTGGCCTCCCTGTTGGAAATTCATTCTCCTTCTCCTGCAAAAGGTTAGTACCAACCAGAGGCATAGCACTAGAAGCAGGATCAAGTGGACATATAAGCGATGTACAAGTTAAAGCATAACATGGTTCATCATGATCAGCAAGAATAGATTTAAGAGCAAATAAAACTTCTTTCATGTTACTTGATGGTTCATTTGCTGGTTTGCTAAAGTCTTTATCATGTCCTTTCTTTTTCTTTTCAGCAAGTTTCTTTTCATATTGCACAATTTCAGCAGGAGTTAAAGGAAGTAAAGCAATGGTCTTTCCCTTAAATATAAAAGTATATCTATTTTGCCTACCATGATGTAGAACATTATTATTATATTGCCAAGGGCGGCCTAACAAAAGTGAACAAGCTTGCATAGGCACGACATCAAAATCAACATAATCATGGTATGATCCGATAAAAAAATGCACACGAGCAGATTGTGTTACTTTTGCCTTACCACTATTGTTGAACCACTGAACATGGTAGGAATGTGGAAGAGCACGTGTAGATAAACTAAGGGCCTTGACAAGCTCAGAACTTACCAAGTTATTGCTGCTCACTCCATCAATTATAACACGAACACGGAAATTATTGACAATGAGGAACATTTGAAACAAATTGTGGTGTTGTAGCTTGTCTACTGGTTCAACTTGTGTACTTAAAACACGCTGAACAAGGATTGATTTGTAGTTTACAGTGCATGCCACACTATCAATTACCTCATTAGGATCTTCAGCAACATCAGGATCTTCAGCATTATTCGCAAATTTATCTGCATAAAGATCAGTTGCAAGTGCAAATTCATTCTCTTCATCACTAGCACTAGCTTACTCACAATCATCAGTAGCAATATATACGCATTTGCTGGGGCATTCTTTAGCAATATGTCCCATGCCCTTACAGCGGTGGCAAACAACTTTAGAAGAGCTGCTAGAGAAATGCATAGCAGATCCATTAGAAGAAGGTGTGATAGAAGAACTCTTCTTTATAGGCGCTGGTGGTGTCTGCACATTAGAAAATTTACTCACCTCGATTGGACGTGAAGGAGTGGACGGAGTCGTGGAACGCCTAGGTTGTCGCCCCTGTACTTCCCTTTCAGCTTTAAGAGCATAATGATATAATTGGGAAAATCTAGTCCATTCTTTATAGTCAAGAACATTCTGTATTTCACGACGCAAACCTCTAAAAAATCTAGAACACTTATCCATTTCATCCTCTTGTATGTTACTACATGCTAGACCAATTAAAAGCTCCTGATAATATTCCTCAACAATCTTACTAACTTGATTTAAACGTTGCAATTTTAATCGCATATCACGCTGATAGTATGGAGGAGCAAATCTCGATTTCATTCGTCGTTTAAGTACAGTCCAGGTTTGAGGTATTTGAGCATTAGCATTAGCATTAACATTATTGCAAATATCATTCTAGCCAGAAAAGAGCAAAACTAGTAAACTCACTAGTAGCAAGTCTAACTCTATATTCTTCCGGTACTTAATGGGAGCTAAATTTCTTATCTACAACCATCTTCCAATCTAAATATGCTTCAGGATCAGCAGAACCAGAAAAAGAAGGTATCTTAAACTTGGTTTTAGAGAAAGGATCATTATTACCTTGGTTATTACCTCCCATACCGCGTCGGTTAAAGTTCAACCGATTACGGTTACGTGCATCCTCAGCACGTCGTTGAGCTTCGGCTTCAGCTTCCGCGTCGCCATCATCCTCCTTATAGAGATCATCATCATCATCTTCAGGACATGGTTCAGGATGTCGTTGTTCAACATCTTCAATCCTCTTGGCTAAGTTGGTGATTTGTTGAAGGATCTCATTGAACTTGTCATCAAGAATGGCATGAAGCTCATTCTTAGAAACACAGTCATTGAAATCTGTAGGCGTGTCCCTGTTTTCTTTGCCGCTGCCTCCGACTTTTCCTGACATGGTTAGTAGAAAGAAGAAGACAACACAAATAGTATTATCCCTACCAACTACTAAGGTTGTGGACAAGGAAAAACAAGGCACTCAACTCTCAAGTGTCTTACCATGGTCTTACAAGTGTTCTTACCAAAGCAACATGCAGTGCAATCGGTCAGTGACTGTGATACCATTGTAGCTTGAGTGTAACAGTTGCAAGATGAACTTGTACTT